GTGACCGGTGCCAGCGTCACGCAAATGCAGGCCGCTGGATACAAACCCGTTGGTAAAGATTTTCCGGTTTTCCTCCACCCCCAGAGCAAACAGGAATACGCGTTAGCGCGTAGCGAGCGTAAGACATCTCCCGGCTACCATGGTTTCGAGTTCAATACCGACCCCGGCATTACCATAGAAGAAGATTTACTGCGTCGCGACCTCACAATCAACGCCATGGCTGAAGATGAAAACGGCACAATTATCGACCCTTACAACGGTCAAAAAGACCTTGAAGCAAGGCTCTTAAGACATGTTTCAACGGCTTTTACCGAAGACCCGGTTCGGGTTCTACGTGTCGCTCGATTTGCGGCACGCTACCATCACCTTGGTTTCCGGCTCGCCGACGAAACGGTAGACCTGATTCGACAAATGGGTGAGTCTGGAGAACTAGGCTCGCTAGTCGCCGAACGAGTATGGACAGAAATGTCTCGGGCACTGAATGAACCCGATCCAGCGTATTTTCCAAAAGCCTGCGAACGTGCTCGGTATGCAGATCCTTCCCGAAATCGGCAATTTATTCGGCGTACCGCAAACGGAGAAATATCACCCCGAAATCGATACCGGCGTACACGTCATGATGTCTTTACAAAAAGGCTGAACTAGGTCACGACAACGAAACCAGATTTGCAGTGCTCATGCACGACCTTGCAAGGCAACAACGCCTGCCAACATTTTACCCAGGCATCACGGCCACGAACAACGCGGGTTGAAACTGGTGAAAATATTTGCAAGCGCTGGAAAATACCGAAGGCACATACCGAACTGCACTAATAACGATCTGAATTTCACACGCGATAACACCGCGCGCTGGAACTAAAGGCGACGACGATTTTAAAATATTTGCCAATGTCGATATTTATCGCACAGTCTCGATTCATGAAAAGCTAATGCCTGCCTGGCCGATGTCCGTGACGAACTAACTTCGAAACGTCGATTACCCGCAGGCAACATATCTCGAGCGCCTGGCCAATTTGCTGATTCATGCAGATTTATCCGAGATCCGACAACGTGGTTTCTTACAAGGCAAAGACTTCGCGAGCGATCCGGGACTATCGTTACAGATAGTCCAGGCGAATAAGCTTAGCGCTTTAAGCGAGCCAGGCGCGAATCAAGCCGGATCAGCAAACGGCGAAAAGGCGTAATAGAAACAGCAGACCCATGGCAACGCCAACACTATTGGCAACGGCATGCGGCAAATTCAAAGCTCACGATAATCGGTTAGGCCCTGTAAACTCCATCAAAAAGCCATAAGCAGTTAAACCAAAAATACCCGCCACAAGAAAACTGGCGCGTTCGGCTATCAAGCTAAACCAGCTCGCAAAACCAGATAGATTAATACGTGGGCTAGCTTATCGTTACCGCTACCGCCCGAAACGGCATCAAAGATAGTGTTGCCACGATTAATAAGCAGCGCTACACCACCGCCATACCACAGCCGTGTAAGTCGCAACTCGACCTTTGACTTCTGAATTTCGCGCTCAGAAGCAGCAAGGCGAGAGAAAAGCACCCAACAACAACGACCGATAAATGACGAACGTAACATTCGATGCCGTCGATCAGCTTTAAGAATAATGAATACATAATCCCGCACTAAAGGCAGAAGCACGATGGCCAATACAAGAGCCATCCAGTCGATTGCCGAGATGATTGCCACTAATCGAGCGTTTGCAGGATCCACTGGACAGATTTAACGGCATCGACATAGAAACGAAAAACGAGCTGCGGCCGACGCATTCATACCAATAAAACCGCATATGGTTTTACCGGAACGGGAGGTACCGGGATCAAGCAACAGCTTGAAAGCAGCCATTATCAGTAACGTCTTTAAGCCTATAATCATGCTCGCTTCGATTCTTGCCGGGCGACCTATCCGCAACCCAAGCAATAGGCCAAAAACAATCGGTAGTGACGCTATAACCCAGGGCGAGCGCAGCTCGCTTTCGATTAAATCTTGAAACAAAACCGATGATGACGGCAGGAATAGTACCGATGATTATCCACCCGGCCAGCTTACTGCCTCTAAGACGACTCGCCACCTGAAAGACTTGAAACCAGGCCTTGAGCATTTTGCCACTTCCAGACGGAAATAAACACACGACCGCAATCAGCGATCCGACATGCACGGCAACGTCAATGCCAGCCCCTGATCGGGCCAAGTTCAACAACATCGGCACCAGTATTAGATGGGCTGAGCTTGGAATCGGTAAAAATTCGGTATGCCCTGGTACGACAGCGAGCAGGATAATTTGCATAAATCCAACTATATTATCTCCTGGATACGAATGCTGGCAAATCAAGATCAAGGTTTTTATCAAACCGCAGTACTTTAAACCTCTCACCCATTTCACCAGGCAATGTTAGGGTTTTTATTTGCTGCGCCGCATCCATTTCTGCGATGTATCTTCGGTTGTACTACATAGTCCATCTCATCCAACAGCCATTTCGCAATAGAAAATTGCCTGCGTAACCAACCTTCTAATCTCAAACCGCGCAGCAATGGCCGCATCGGCAACTGCGTCAAAGTCAACCGAAGCCGTAACATCCTGCAACCGGTAGAACCAGAGCATCATCATGCGCGCGCATGATGATAGTGGCAGCTGCAAGTGCCTCGAGTGCGCTCGGGCTGATAATACGACGCAGCGTCATAACCGTATCGATCAGCATCACCATCACTGATTACTACTCTCGCTAGATAGGCTTAACCAGGGGCCATAGTTCAAATTGACTTCGGTCTGGTAGCCCTGAGGTAAAGCAGCAAATTCTGCTTCGATAGATTGAATGGCACTAACCGCCTCGCCTTCTGAGATGCAGTCGCGCCAGCAAAAATGGCGCCATCAAAACCCACGCGAGTTCACACCATTGCCCCTGTTTTTTGACTAAACTAACCGGCATCGCATCGAGCACTTCATTTCGCTAATACGATGCCACTAAAATCGACTGGCAGACGCTCTAGCCAACTACTTTTCAAAGGTTTCGAAATCGGCTTCTGTTTTAAATAAGTCTGGCTGACGCTCACGCCAAAGTCCCGCATCAGTTCGAGGATATAATAGTCGACAGGGCTGTCGATGCGACCGAGAATCTGCTCACAAAGTTTGCCGCTGCCAGCGCCAATTCGAGTATACGAGCGACGCAACCTGTTCACATAATTGCAGGCACTGCTTCGCCAGCGTTCGCGAATAAAGCGCGAAATTTCCGGCGCCGTGAAACAAATCTCCCGTCTGACCAATTTACTCAATTCCGGCGCTTAATAACCAAGACCCGGTCTGTATAACAGTAGTTCATGTAATCGCTAAAGGGAAATAACACCGCCACTCTGTTGAATTTTGTCAACAACGAATCTATCAACTTTGCGCTATGGGAAATCTCCGACCGAGCTGGGTGTGGGCAATGCGCTAGCGTCTGTTGCCTGAGAGTGATATGATGACATTCTTTATTTAGCCTCCCTCGTTACATGTTTGCTGCCTGGAAATCAGCTCTGGTTACCGGAGCGCGAATCGTCTTGGTGCAAAATTACCTCGCACTTTACATGAAAACTGGTGCGAATCTCATAATCCATTATCGCAATCCGATGCCGAAGCGAAGGCACTGGCACAGAACCTGAATTCGCAACCCTGACAGGCGATAACCCTCCAGGCCGATCTCGGTGAGATCGAACGATTGTCGACCATGGCGCAGGAAGCGGTCGATGCATTTGGCAGACCGACTTCTCATCAACAATGCATCGAGCTTACCCGACGGCTATCGGTGAAATTGACCTACAATGTTGGAACGATTAATCGATATAATTTTAAGCGCCTCTGTTTCTATCACAAGCCTGCCACAGGCAATTGCGCGAAAATAATGGCGTCATTATCAACATGCTCGATATCTATGCCTCGACACCGTTGCTAAATCACATCTCTACTGCGCGGCCAAAGCAGCTAATCAATGCTAGTGAAATCGCTAGGCGCTGGAACTCGCACCCGATTTCGCAGTTAACGGCATCGCGCCCCGTGCAATACTATGGCCACGCAAAGCGATGGCTGCGAGCTCGAAGCACGCAGAAAATTCTCGCGCAAATCCCACTTCAACGCACGGGATGACCCTGAGTCATCGCCAAAACTGTGATGTTTAATCACACGACTATTCGTCACAGGCGAAGTCATCCGCGTTGATGCGGTCGTCTATTACAAATTTACTGAGCAATTTAAAGCATGAAGTCAAACTGGACTGACACCGTCCGCCGCCTCGACCTTACGTTCCTGGTGAGCAACGCAAGATCAGCAACATCAAGCTGAATACTAACGAGAGTCCCTACCCGCTCGCCCAGGGTCGCTCAGGCCGTCGAGATTACACGATTGATTCATTACGGCTTTACCCTGACCCTGAGTCAGTCGAGCTACGACAACCATGCCCAAATACATGGCCTGAAATTAGACCGATATTTGTCGGCAATGGGTCGGACGAGTCTGGCGCACAGCTTTCAAGCCTTTCTTCAAACAATCGAAACACTACTTTACCGCGATATCAGCTACAGCTTTTATCCGTTTACTCGCGGCCTATATGATATTGAGTACAACAAGTTCCGTTGGATGCGAATTTCCAGATTAACTGCGCAGCTACAGTCGGCCAACGGCGGGTCATCCTGCCAAACCCGAATGCACAACTGGCATCGCCCTGTCGCTCGAATTTGATCCGTTGCCTGTTAGAGAGTTCTAATTCAGTCGTTATAATCGACGAAGCCTATGTCGACTTCGCGCCGAATCAGCCGATTCGCTGATTGACGAATATGACAACCTGCTGGTAACTCAACTTTTTCCAAGTCGCGTAGCCTCGCAGGATTGCGATAGGTATGCGCTCGGCAACAAAGACTTGATCGAGCACTCAATCGCGTAAAAATTCGTTTAACTCGTATCCGATGGCCGACTAACCGAGGCTGCTGCGATTGCATCGGTCAAAGACAACGTTTATTTTGAACAATGTAACCAAAAATAATCACTAGCAGGAGTTCACTCAAGTCTGGCGCTAGAGCGCTGGGTTTCGGGTTCACCATCAAACAGTAATTTCGTCTTCGTCGAACACCGCGTAAAACCAGCCGCCGAATATACATGAATTAAAACAGGCGGCATTCTGGTACGCCACTTCAAGGCAGCGCGCGCATCGATAACTGCCTGCGTATCAGCGATTGGTAGCGATCACGAATGCCAGCAGTTATTGGCCGCTTTAAGCCCCTTCTAGAAGAAGTTAATCGAGATCCAGCTCAAACAAATCAAGGCGAGGCGCCTGCGCTGACCATCTCCACCATAGCTCAGCATAGCTTTGCCTGGTCTGTGGATGGCAAGCTTATCGCCCGCAGATCCTGTAACGGCTTAAGCACAAAAGCCTGTTGACAATATCCCTGCGTGGGATCTGAACGCCGGTTCACTCGATAACAAGATCAGCGAAGCAGCAGAATATCAAGATCGATAGGCCGAGGGTGAAAAACTGGGCTGGCTGCGATCCCGACCAAGCTCGTCTTCGATCAAACGCGAATACGGCAACCACGCCGTAACGAGTCATCGGTTTCAAAACCTACACACAGATTGAGGAAATCATCCCTTCGACCCGACCGCAAGCCGACTCGTATACCGGCGATAGCCAGAGTTCGCCAAACGTCGCACGCAATGCCGCACAGCCTTTTGAATATTAGCTCTGCTTGGACATTACTACCCAGGCTGACATAAACGCAGGCACTCATTCTGGTTCTGACTCGCTCGATAATGACCCCGACGGAGCCTGAACCACTCACGCACCTGGCTTATTAAAGTCAGTCGCACCAGGGCACATTGAATTCTTCGCGACAATGGCGCAGATTTTCTCCGCCAGTGACTCCACTAATTCATAACTCCTCCCTGATGAATCCATCGGCGCTTGCAACGCTCTTATAACTCAAAGTATCATCGATATGTTCGTATTGGCGCTTTATTGATATCGGTGGCCATATCAATATCGATACTGATGTTTTGTTATCTTCGTTCGCAGTCCATAAATACCGAGACCGTATCTACCTGTAAATCGCGAATAAAAACTATGTCCATTAGGACCTTACCCGTGGCAAAATTGACGAACGCTATATTAGCTCGCGAAACTAGTTAAGGGGAATATTTACTTACCAAAAATAAAT